GAAATAAAAAAAATAATCTGATTGAAATCTATACTAAAAAGAGAAAAATAAATAAAGAAAATATAGAATTAAAAAAAAGATAATTTTATACAAAAAGTAAAAATAGTAGAGTTGGAAAAGAAAATTTTTTCCTTTTAGATTTTGGAGTTATATTTTGAGATAATTCCTATTGGTATTGATGAATATTCCTTGGTAATCAAATACTTTGATGAAACCAATCCAAAGTATGGTTTGATAGATCTGTAAGAAATATTTCTGTTTTGTAATGTAGAATAATTTTAAGATCATCAAAAGTAGTTAGTGAGTAGTAGCCAATAATAATATAAAAAACTAAAAGGTAAGTATTATTTGAATGATATATTAGAGGTTTTGAGAGAATATCTAATATTTGTTGTAAAGAGAATTGATTCAATTTAAAATTTGAAAGTAAATCTAAAAGAATATTTTTTAGTGAGTTATGAATATTTATAAAATTATCTTCATTTTCACTATTATCATTATTAACAATATTATCATAACTATCTAAAATTGTTAATTCTATACTATTATTTTGTTGAATTGTTCTTAATTTTTCATGATATTTATTAGGATTAACTAAAAATTTATTTAAATTTGAAATTCTAATTACTAAACTATTAATTTCTTCAATTCTTTTTCTAACTGAAATTTGAATAGTATATGCTACATATCTTATATGTTTAATATTTTTGAAGTTTTTCATAGCTGCAATCATATTTGGTACATTATCAGTAACACTAGCAATAAATTTATTTTCTAAATTAAATTGTTCAAATATTGATTTTAATTTTTGAAAAATATTTATTGCTGTATGTGAGTATAAATTTTCTTCTAATAATAATAATACTTGGTATAATTTAAAATCAGCTGATATCCAATGAATTATAATACCAATATATAGTTTATAATTAGAAGTCTATTCATCAGTAGTAAAACTTGCTGAAATTGTTGCTAAACTAAGACATTGTTTTAATTGTTCTTTAGTTTATTGAACTGCTTTAAACATTATATTTTTAATAGTACTAATTGCTGGAATTTGATATTCAGATTCTAAATTTTTAATTAATTTTTGAAATTTTTTATTTTTTATAACTTAAATAGTTGCATATAATCAATAATCCAATCTAATAAATCTAAAGTTAAACTTTGCTGTTTACTAAGTTAAATTGTTGATTGTATATTTTGAGATCTAGTAAATTCATTTATTTGATGAATAGTTAGCAAATGTTGAATCATATTTCTAGTTCTAGTATATAGTTGAAAAGATATTAGTTGAATTTGATTAGAAGGTAAATTTTTTTAACATTCTAAACAAATAATTTTATTTTGACAAATTTTCATATATTTCCATACCCAACTAGTTCCTTTTTTTCTAAGTTTTTTTGAAATAGTTTTATTCAAAATATTTGAAAAAGTATTTATATTTGAAGTAGTTTCATTCAAAATATTAAAAGAAGAAGTATTTGTATTTGAAGTTAAAGCTATAGAAGATTTAATACTTTGAACAATAATATCACTATCTTCTCTATTTAAAATATCATTAAATATTTCATCTTCATTATAAGAATAATCATATAAATTATTATTACTAATAATTTGAAGTTGTTTTTCAGCTTTTCTTTTTGAAAGTATTTTTTTTTGATAAATTAATTTCAATAGATGTTGATTTAGACTTATAAGATTTGAACTTAGGTTTTGTATTTTTTTTAACAAATTTAATTTTCATTTTATTAATATAAAAGATGTAAATTGAAAAAATTGTATTTTAATAATTAAATATTTGCATTTATTTATATTAAAAATTATAAATAATATATAACCAAATATAAATTTAAATATTTATTAACTATTAAATCTTAATTTATATTTATTAATTAAATAAAATAATAATACATTAAATTAAAACTAATTATTAAATAATTTTAAACAACAATAATTAATAAGCAAAATATATATTACTATTTAATAACTAATTATATTATAATTTAAGCTAATAATAATATAATTATAATACTATTTATAGCTATAAAATTTATTTATTTATTTATTTGAAAAATAATTATATAGATAATAATAGTAATCAATACAATATATATCTAAAAATATAACTAATTATTTATTAATTTAGAATTTAATAAACAAAACATATATGACTATTTAATTATTAATTTGTAATTCATATAGAAATCTATAAATTTTTATTTTTATTTTTTTATTATTAAGACCACTTCTTTAGCTGATTAGATTTTATTAGTTTGTTATTATGGAACTATCATATGAACAGTTTCCTAAGGTTTTACAGTTATATGATGAGTGTATAACAAGCTATACATACAACTTTAGTCATTATCTAATTTAAGTAGTCCACTATACAGATGATCAACCATCTGTTAGTTTTATACTATACTGCTATATCTGCAACCTACCTGTGAGTTACCTATTTAAACACTCTAATTATTAACCCTTTCCTCCATCCTAAACTAATATCACCACTATGACCAACTGCTTAAGTCAGCTAGTTTACCTGTGGATCTATTCTCTGCATAGCTTAGGTCCTCTCAAGATACATATGCCCAACATATTGTGAGCTGCAGAGCTCTAGTTAACCTCAGAAGTAATTCCTACTAGAGTAGTCATATGCTTATTTCACAGATTCATATGAATTAGACCCTTGTCGATGTTCATATAAACCCAGTTTCTGCTGTTGCTATCCACTAGATATAGTCCTTCAAGTTCTAGCTAGATGTTTCACAAAGTAGATCCTCTCAATCTAGTTAGCTGCCAAGCCAAGTTAGTGTTGCCACTAATACAAGGCACCAGGTTATGTTATACAGCAGACTTACTCGCACCTATTAATCTCATATTCTTCGTACTCAGGTTTTTCACTAGATCAGGCATTAACCAGCTTAACTGTCAAAATCTATACTACTTCATCAAACTCAGGATTTCTACTATGCAGGTCCTTTGCTTGTATATTCTATTAAGATTTATTTATGTAATGTAACTTGAGTATTGTATCACACTTCCAATGTCTAATTGATATTGGTGCAATGTGATTTATAGAGTTGTAACTCCCAGAAATAGGTAGAGTTTACCATAAGTTGGATACAAAGGTTCAGGTAATTATTCAAATTTATCAACAGTAGGATTTGAACCTCAGACCTCTTGTATGGTAGTCTGAAAAATCTATAAATTATCATAGTAAAATAAGAATATATTTACTATGTATTTTTTATTATTTTTGGAATCTAAAGCTTCCTAAATAATAACTTATCTTTTTTTTAAGTAAACTTTATTTATGTTTCTAATTAAAGTTATAGAAGCAAGAGTTTCAGTTATAATGGTAATTAAAACACTAAATCAGCTTATTAGATTATTATATATGAGTATTTTAATTTTTATAACTATAAATTTACTTTTTATTTTAATTATATAGCTATAAAAACTAAAACACTAATATATCATGATTCACTAGACCAATTTTAACATTTTAATGACTATTATAACCAAAAATATTATTTCTGCAACTTTAATTAGAAGTACAAATAGATTTACTTAATTAAAAAATAAGTTATCTCTTGGAAAACTTCTGATTCCAAATTTAATAGAAATTTTTTTATAATACTTTACTAGTTTCAATGTAAATCATGAATTAAACTTTAATTTATTATATAATAATTTAAACTCATAATAATATAAACTGTAATACTATTTATAACTATAAACCAATAATAATATAATCGTAAATTTCTTTATAATTCTTTATTAGTTTTAATAGTTTTAATGCAGATCATGAATTAAACTTTAATTTATTATATAATAATTTAAACTCACAATAATATAAAATATAATACTATTTATAACTATAAACCAATAATAATATAATCGTAAATTTTTTTATAATATTTCACTAGTTTCAACAGTTTCAATATGAATCATAAATTAAACTTTAATTGATTATATAATAATTTAAACTCACAATAATATAAACTATAATACTATTTATAACTATAAACTAATAATAATATAATCTCTAAAATTATTTATAACTATAGAATTTATTTATTTATTTATTTGAAAAATAATTATATACAAAATAATTGTAAATAGTATATTTTAATATTAAAAAATATTATTTATTATTTAATAATTTAAAATTACAAAGTTAAGCAATATATACTGTAAATCTATTTAATTACTAAAATTATATTTTATTTATATACTTAAATAAATTTTAATACTTATACATATATATAATATTGTATTTATTTTATTCAAAAATAAATAAGTATATCTATATTTAATTTTATTACTCAATTTATTTTTAAAATAAAACTAAAATATATTAATTGTATATGAAAGTATTAGTTGCAGCTAGTGGTGCAGTAAATATTTTTAGTAAAGCAAATATTTTATGAACTATTACTAAATTTGTGATTATTTTAGATTCAATAGAGTCTTACTAATCTGCTTTATTCCTCTAACCATGAATTTAGCTACAAATTAACATTATTAAATATTTATTGCAGCTCAGCTGCAGCTGAGCTATAGTAATATAAGCTGTAGCTAGATCAGCTGAAGTGGCTAAACCAGCTTGCTACACTATGCTGTGTCTTAAATTTCTTAGTAATGCTATCACACTATTTCTTTTGGTTAGAGGTAGAGTTGTTAGCCTCTGACAATAGGTTAAAGGCTATATAGGCTATGAAAACTACTTAGGCTAAGTAGTATTATACTCAGAAATAATGAGTCAATCACTCAATCTTCAGGATCTTCATATGATGTACTATAATAACTTATTAAAAGAATGTATTTATATTTGGCAAAGGGAATTTCATAGCTTCAGTTATTATTCAGACTCTGGTTATATAGCTAGTCTTCTTAATATTATTTGAATTTCTAACTGATCTATTCTTTTTCTTAGAATAGTCAAACACAAAATTTAGTAAGCAAGTTCTCTTTACTCAATAATTTAATAATATTTTACTCTTATCTAAAGAGTAAATCAGGTAATGTAATAGTATACAAATACAAGTTTATATAATTAGTAAAATATAGTTAGAATTTTTAATGAATTTAGAAGTAAAAAGAAGGTTTAGACATTATGTTATAAGCAGAAAAGTTTATTGACAATAAGGTATTTTTTATTGAGAGCAAGAGACTCTGTTTATATAAATTTTACAATAATAGAATTTATATAAGTCTTATATATTTTTTAGCTCTTATAATATTTAAAAGAGATATAAGACTTATTGTTCTTTAATACTTTTAATACTTTTAGCTCCTATTTTTTTTATTGCTCTTATATGTCTTATAGAAGTTATAAAATTAATTAATCCTATAAGCATGAAATCCTTATAAATGTTAAGAATTAATTTAGCTATAAAATTAGATTATAGCTTAGTTATATAGATTTAAGAAAAAAGCTTAGAATCTAATTTTCTTATAAGATAATAGGCTATATAATATAATCTAGAAAATATAACTAGTATAAAAATTTTCAGACTTCTAATCTAACTGTTTTGAAACTGTTTTTTGTTTTTCTTTTACTATTTTTCTTTTATTATTATTTAGCTAATTTTTTTTTATTTTATAATAATTTAGTTTTATTAACTTAACCTTTTGAAATGCTTAGTAAATATAACTTTAAAAATAGAATAAAGATGATTACTTACTTTATTAATAGTATTATATTACAAAAATTAGATATATTTAATATATAAGATATATTATATATATAAAATATATATAATATATATAATACTAGCTTAAAAACTTATACTCTGCATAAGATACAATTAGAAACTATAAAATTTTTAATATGAACTGACAAAACTTTGTATTTATAATACTAAAATATTAATTACAGTATTTATTATAGCTATTTTCAAATTAATATATCTGTCTAATTTTATGATTAATAAATCATCTTTATACTTATGAACTATTCAAAAGATATTAAATAATTAATTGTTAATAAGTACTTGAATTAAGTATTCATAAATAAGTATTTTATAATTTTAATTCTACTGATTAATATTAACAAATTATCCTTATATTTACAGACTAAATTAATGTAAACAAAAGAAATAATTTGAAAAGTATTAGATAGCTAATTGTAAATAATATTTAGTGATAAATATTTATGAATAAGTATTTATGTTCATATTATTAATTCTACAAATCAATATTAATAAATTATCTTTATACTTACAGACTAAATTAATACAAATAAAAGAAATGATTTGAAAGGTATTAGATAATTAATTGTAAATTAATATTTAGTGATAAGTTTTATAAATAAGTATTTATTTTTATAATTTTAATAAAACTAATTTACATTAATAAATTATCTTTATACTTACAGATTATTTGAAGGATATTAGATAATTAATTATAAGTATTTAGAGATAAGTATTTATAAATAAGTATTTATATTTATAATTTTAATGAAACTGATTAATATTAATAAATTATCTTTATACTTATAGACTACTTGAAGGGTATTAGATAATTAATTATAAAAAAATATTTAAAGATAAGCAATTATAAATAAGTATTTATGTTTATAATTTTAATGAAATTGATTAAATTATCTTTATACTTATCTACTATTTAAAGAATATTAGATAACTAATCATAAATAAGTATTTAGTATTTATGTTCATTATTTTAATTATACTGATTAACTATTTTAATACTTGCATACTATTTGATGAGTATTAGATAATTAATTATAAATAAGTATTTAGAGATAAGTATATGAATAAGTATTTATATTTATAATTTTAATAAAAATAATTAATGTTAGTAAATTATCTTAATGCTCACTAACTAAAATAATTTGAAGAATATTAAATAATTAATTTTAATAAAAATATTTAACATTAATAAGTTATCTTTATACTTACTAACTAAAATGATCTGAAAGGTATTAGATAATTAATTAATTGTAAATAAATATTTAGTAATAAATATATACATTTATGATTTTAATGAAATAATTTATGTTAATAAATTACCTTATACTTACAGACTAAATTTGAATAAATTTATTTAAAGAGTATTAGGTAATTAATTAATTGTAAATAAGTATTTAGAGTAATAACAAGAATTATTTAGTCTTATTAGAATATGCTAAGATAAAAGAGTAATAAGTTTTAACTTTAAATTTTGAAAAGATTTTTCTTATTTGGAGCTCTACTAATAATATTTATTTTTCTTTAATAATAAATTTAGAAGTGTAGTGATATTAGTAAATTCTAGTATAAATTTTTAGTAATAAGAAGTAAGTTTTAAAATTTTTCATAATTGTCTCATATTACAAGATATCAGAAAATCTTAGACAGCTTTTATCTTTTGTAGATTAGTTAAGATATCTTCAGTATTTACTATATACTTTAAGAATTTTAATTAGCATTTCTTAAAAAATTATTTTTAAGGTTTTAATTTAAGACTTGCTTTCTTTAACTAGTTGAAAACTTTTTAAAAATAGAGAAGATATTTGTTGAAATTTTTGGAGAACATGTTGATATTATCAAAGTATATAATAACAAATTTTCCTATAATATCTTAGAAATTTATCTATTAATCTTTAAAAAGTAGCAGAAACTTTAACTAATATAAAAAGCATCATATTAAATTAATAGATCCTTTAGATATTATAAAAGCTATCTTTTCTTTATTTTACTCAGCTATTTCAACTTACTAGTATCTACTAGTGAGATCTAGTAAAATATATTTAGACAATCTTTTCAAGGTATCAAGAAGATTATCAATTCTTGAAACATAATAATTATTTTCTTTAGTAATAATATTAAGCTTCTAGTAGTCTATACAGATATAAGTTTTTCTTTCTCCTTGCTTTACTAAAACTATTAAAAAAGACTATAGACTATAAGAAACCTAAATTATTCTTTTATTTCTTATTATCTTTAATTTATTATTAAGAAATTCATTTTCCTTTATTAAGTATTGATATAGTCTTTGTTTAATTAGTAGTGTATCTGCAATAATAATTTAGTGACTATACTTATTAGTCTATTCAAGTTAAAAGTTATTTTTGATAAAAAGATTTGTGTTTTCTTTAGAATTGATTTTAATTTTTCTTTTTTATCTTTAGAGAATACCTTAACATTATATATTATAACCAGATCTTCCTTTTTACTAAAATAAAAATCAAAAAGGTTAGTAATTTTTTTGAACTTGTCTTTATTTGTTTTTCTTAAAGTTAAGTCTAAGAATTTATCTATTTATTTTTCTTTATCCTATTTATTATTTAGTATTTCTATATCTAAAGCTATAAGCTTTTTATAGACTAGAGATTTATAAGTATTAATAAGATAAGTTCTTTCTCATAATTATATTTTTCTTCTTAGTTCTATTTGCAAATTATATAGTTATTATCACTATTTAGATTCTACTAGACTTCTTTTAATTCTAGATTATTTCTATTTAGATTTTTATAATATATATTATTATTACTATTTAGATCTTACTAGACTTCTTCTACTTCTAGATTATTTCTATTTAGATTTTCATAATATATATCATTATTACTGTTTAGGTCCTACTAGACTTCTTCTATTCCTAAATTATTTCTATTTAGATTTCTATAATATATATCATTATTTTCAGAACTTTCATCTTGTTTTAACTTAGATAGTTTATAAATTCTATTCTCTAACTTTTTATATTCAAACTCATCTTTATTATTATTATCATCTGTTTTTATTTCTTCTTCTTCACTAATCTCTAATTCTTTTTTACTTATTTTTGTAGATCTTTTATCTTTAAGTAGTTTTGTAGTAACTTTTCTGAATTCTACAGGTATTATAACTTTTTTTCTATTTCAGGTAAATATTATTTCTGAAATGTTCTAATCAATTAATATGCTTATCTTTTATAACTAATTATTATCTACTAGAGTATTATAAGAA